AATACACTTTGACAGAAAAGTGCCTGCGTTCTATTTGCTAATCATTTGTATAAAAGTCTTCCATTATTTTAAGATAATTATTTTAAGATAATGTCTTAGACAATCTTCTAGTCACTGTTACGATGCTTAACAGACTTTGCTGTTAAGGGATTTTTAAATTTCTTTAATGTGTATATATACTTTTAAAGATTTATTTATTTTTATTTTATGAATGTTTTGCCTGCAGGTATGCATGAGCATGAGTGCACCTGATGCCCTTGGTGCCAGAACAGGGGTGTGGTCTCCTGGAACTGAGTTACAGACCGTTGTGAGTCACCATGTGGGTCCTAGGACCGAAAGTAGGTTCTCTGCAAAAAGCAGTCAGCACTTCTAATGCTGAGTCATCTCTCCAGCCCTTCTTTTCATATCTTAGAAGTTATTCTTTTTCATCTGTGTTGTGGAGCGTTACTTTAACTATGCAAAGATGTGTTACCTTTGTTTATGCTGCATTTGTGTCATTATGGAAATATGGGCTGCTGTTTTACTTTGTCTGCCTAAGGCACCTGATTGGTCTAACAAAAAGCTGTATGGCCAATAGCCTAAGGCAGTGGAGGGATAGACGGGGCTGGGGGCAGAGAGAATAAGTAGGAAGAGGAATCTAGGCGATAGAGGAGAGAATGAGGGAGAAAATGAGGGAGATGCTCTGGGCCAGCTGGGAAGGCAACTCCCAGGCAGACAGACACAGAATAGGACAGACAGAATGAAAGAAAAGTAAAAAGTCCCGAGGCAAAACATAGATGAAGAGAAACCGGTTAAATTAAGTGATAAGAGCTAACAAGAAAAGAACCTAAGCTAAGGCCTAGCATTCAAAACTAATAATAAGTCTCCATGTCGTGATTTGGGGGCTGACAGTCTGAGAAAGCCTGCTACACATCTGGTCGTACTAATGACAGACAATAAACCAATGGTCAGTTTCTCCTCTCTTAATAATCCTCCATACAGTCAATGTCCGTATGTTAAGTTCACCTTGGGTAAAATGATTCAATTGTGTTAGCTTCTTCCTCATGCTGACAGGGATTCCTGGTGTGTGTATGTGTGTGTGTTTGTGTGTGTGTGTGTGTCCACCTTTAAGCATGGAAACCAGAAGAGGTCACTGGACCCCTCAGAGCTGGAGCGACAAGTGTGTGGGGATGCTCACTTGACTCTGTGCTAGGATCCCAACCCCAGTCCTGACGATGGAGCAGCCAGTACTCATTTCTCTAGCTCCCCCTTTCTCTTGTTGGGTTCACTTTGAAGCACTGTACTGAAAAGGAATTCTCTGGGCTGGAGATTTGACTCAGCAGTTAAGAGTGCTGTCTGCTCTTCCCGAGGACCCAGTTCAGGTCCCAGCACCCACATGGTGGCTCACAACTGTCTGTAACTTCAGTTCCCAGGGGATCCAACGCCCTTTTGGCCTTCTGGCCTCAGTAGGCACCCGGTATGTAAGCAGTACACAACATACATGCAGGCAAAACACCCATACACATTCAACCAAGGAACAAACAAATAGAATTTTAAAAAGTCTCATGTTTGTGGGTTTTCGCCAGCCTCCACCTCTCCCCAGGAGACCTGCTCTTAAGCCTTTCCGCTTCTTTCCATTTCCTCATTCTTTGTACTCTAATTTGGACGTAAACTTAGAGAGTCTTTTTAGCTCTGAGAGGTGTGTGCCATGTCAAAGGGAAAAGGATACAAGCTGAGGCAACAAGCGAAGTACACAGGACAGCTCTTCTGGGCAGCTGTGAGCAGTGCGTCTGTGTCCCTAGGGTGACAGAGTCTCATGGAGCCTGTGATGTTGTCTTTGTTCCCGAGTGTCTTCTGGAGATCTCAGGCCAGAGCTACTTTATAAGACTCCGCTAAGGGTCACTTATTTTATGGGCTCAAATCCAAAGTCTATTCGACGAGAGGGCTCTCAGATGCAGTTCCAGAGTGTGACACTAAGGGGCAGCACACACCAAAGAAAGCCTTTAGGTCTGAGCCAGCCTGAGAAACAGGAATCTATCTGCCTGGCTTTGGGGGAGCCAAACTCAGCTCTTAAATCCAACTGTAGCATTTTAACCTATGCTGTCTGTCTGTCTTATTAGAAGTTTTCTGGTTTTGCTTTTTGTTTATTTGTTTTTCGAGACAGTTTCTCAGTGTAACCTTGACCGTCCTGGAGCTCTCTCTGTAGACCAGGCTGGCCTTGAATTCACAGAGATCTTTCTACCTTTGCTTTCCAAGTGCTGGGATTAAGAGCATGCACCATCACTGCCCGGTTCTTTCTTTTTTTCTTTAAAAAATATTTTATTTATTTATTATGTATACAATATTCTTTGTATATTTATTATTGTATACAATATTCTTTCTGTGTGTATGCCTAAAGGCCAGAAGAGGACACCAGAGCTCATTACAGATGGTTGTGAGCCACCATGTGGTTGCTGGGAATTGAACTCAGGACCTTCGGAAGAGCAGGCAATGCTCTTAAACGCTGAGCCATCTCTCCAGCCCCCTCCCTGCCCGGTTCTTTTAGAAGTTTTACCTGTCCCTTGGCTTCTCCAAATAGATGGTTTTGTAGTTGAATACAATACTGTTGAGACCCACAAACTCCATAAAATTTATTTTTGTGTATATGTGGCTTCAGTGCTTAGCCTAGTAACATTCAATTCCAAATTCAAACTGTATTTCATCCAAATAACCCCTATCCTTTTGATGAGCAAAGTTTTTAATGCAGAATAAAGGTAATTAAATAAATGTACAGGCGAGATAGACAAAATCCAGTTCTTTATTATTATTATTATTTATTTATTATGCATAAAATATTCTGTCTGTGTGTATGCCTGCAGGCCAGAAGAGGGCATCAGATCTCATTTCAGATGGTTGTGAGCCACCATGTGGTTGCTGGGAATTGAACTCAGGACTTTTGGTAGAGCAGGCAATGCTCTTAAATGCTGAGCCATCTCTCCAGCCCCAAAATCCAGTTCTTGGGAGACCACAGATCCCTTCCCTAGTTTATTGTCCATCTATCATGACTGGCTAGTCCTCCGCGTCCCCCACAATCCTCTCTCTCTCTCCTTCTCCCATGATCCCTGTTCTAAAATAGGTATCATTTTGCAGGCCAGGCTTTTCTTAAATTCACTATGGGTCTGTGTCTCAGGTTGACCTTGAGTTTGCCAACTTCCTGCCTCAGCTTCCCAAGTGCATGAATTACAGGTATCTACCACACAGGTGGCAACAAGCAAGGGGTTCTGAGCGTTTCCTAGAGCCCAATCTTGTAATACATACCATGGTCTACAAAGATGGACCAGGCATGGAGTTCAAGACTAAAGAAATCATTCCAAGTGTGGAGAGTGTGTGACAAGGATCACAGGAATGTCCCCAAAGCTTCCCTGATGGGGTAGGGGGTTAGGAAGAATGTAGGAAAATTGTATACGAGGAAATATTCACATTCAGTCAATGAGTAGGTGGGAGCAGTCAAGGCAGGAGAGCACAACACTTCCATCTGTGTGCACACAGGGCCAGACCCCATGAGTATCCAGACATGTGGGTGCTGACAATATTGTGATCAGCTCCTGCAACAGCAGAATGGTTATCAGACGGCAGGAACCCCAACACCCAGCCCAGAGTGCTGTTAGGAGCCTAGTGCCCCAGGTCTGAAGGTGGCAAAGAATGGTAAGGAGTGGGCATTTAAATGGTGACAGAAGTTGGGTTGGAAAAGGGCTGTGGGGGGGCTGGAGAGATGGCTCAGAGGTTAAGAGCATTGCCTGTTCTTCCAAAGGTCCTGAGTTCAATTCCCAGCAACCACATGGTGGCTCACAACCATCTGTAAAAGGGTCTGGAGCCCTCTTCTGGCCTGCAGGCATACACACAGGCAGAATATTGTACACATAATAAATAAATAAATATTTTATAAAAAAAAAAAAAAAAAGAAAAGGGCTGTGGGTGGCAGAGATGGCCCAAGCCATCCTCCCACAGTGGGAAGAGTGTAAGCCTTTTATTTGGATCCTAATCAAGTTTATGGGACTCCAGGAAAAAGGGGCCCAGATCATCTTGGGGATTAGCAGACGTCTGGGCTAAAGGTTTAGGTTTAGAATTATAGACGTGCCCAAGAATAGTCTGGGGTAACATTTCAGAGCTGGAGTGTATCAGAGCATTCAAAATTGAGGAAACGTGGCCACAAAGACTGGAGGCAGTTTTAGCAGGAAACTGAACCTCAAGGAGAGACCAGTGGTATCTGTGGTTTTTGCATTTAATACACTCCAGGAAAAATAGCAGTAAGATTTTCTTCAAGATAAGGTTCCTCTGGATGCCACACCTGACTTTTTATGTGGCCAGTAGGGATCCAACGCGAGCAGCCGAGTGCACACGTGCTCATACACACACACACACACACACACACACACACACACACACACACATTGAACCAGTATTTCTTCTTTGCTCCTTTTAAACTCCATCCTCGTCATCAGCTTCCTAGCAATATACTTCTACGTCTACCCATATTCCCACATGAGCAGAACGGAGGGCTTTCCCTTCGCACTCTGCTGTTTTTGCTAAGGCCCGGCGGGCACCCACCTCCCTCCATAGCCCTTGGGGCAGCAGCACACACCTGTTCGTTCTGCTGATTAAAAAAACAGACTCAGAGGCCTCTCCAGTTGAGTCTCTTGTCTCCGATAATTGTCATTTGTTGGGAACAGGTGTGCCAAGTGGAAACTCAGCCAGCAGCGCTCAGATTGTAACCGTGAGCACCTGTAGACAGCTACCTCCTGCGGAACGGGTAGGAAGGGATTTTCTTTCTCTTTTGCTTCAGGTTTTCAATTCTGTGTTCTAACATGACTCTGGGTCCGTCTAGTTGCTAACCTATGAACTGTCAGAGGCACACAGATTGGAGGAGTGGGAACTGGGAAGGGGAAAAACAGTCTGCAAAGTTCTCATTTGCAGCTTGCTCTGGGATGCACGGAGCACTGTCTTTAGTGGATCCTCTAGAATGTACGGAGCACTGTCTTTGGTGGACGCTCTAGGATGCACGGAACACTGTCTTTAGTGGGCGCTCTAGGATGATCGGAGCACTCATTGTCTTTAGTGAACAATTCTTACAGCTTAAGAGCTACCACTTGTGTGTTCTGTTTTCAGGAAAGAGTTGACGTTGTCTCCCTATCTGCTCCCTGCTCCCTGCTTTGGAGTAATCCACCTTGCTGCCAGCATGCCCACCCAGCTGGAGATGGCCATGGACACGATGATCCGAATCTTCCACCGGTACTCTTGCAAAGAGGGGGACAGGTTCAAGCTCAACAAAGGAGAACTGAAGATGCTATTACAGCGGGAGCTCACAGAATTCCTCACGGTGAGCCCATTTTCCTGCCTCATTTGCTGGTGCACAGGTGGGATGTGGCTTTGGGGACAAGTGCTGCGTACATTCTGTTTATAACTTGTTTCAAGACTTTCAAGTGCTGGGAAGAGCCCTGGAGATCTGTGTTTCCTTCATACACTGGCAGGGGTCATTTTCCTTACTGCTGTATAGAGTTCCAGGTACAGCTACCATTATTAATTAGAAGGATAACCCTGGGTATAACTAGCTATATATTTTATTGCTGTACTAGAATATTGAACATGGGGTTTTAAAGTAGCTCAATGTAATTGTCAACACTTGGAGAAACTAACTCTAGCAGTAAGCAAAATGGCTTCTGGGTACTTTTTTGTGTGTTTCAGGAGCGCACACACACACACAATACATGTTGTTTATCTGAAATTAAAATTTATTTATTTTTTATTTTTTAAACTTTTATTATTAGTTTTTATTACATAAGTAATACATGTTCATTGTAGAAAAATTAGAAAACACAGGAAAGAAAAAAGAAAAATAATCACCCATAATCCAACTACTCGTGGATAACGGCTATTAACATTGTAGTCTATGGCCTTCTAGCTTTCTTATGCATACGCACATCACACACACACACACACACAGACAGATATGTTTACAAGTGATTTTCTTTTTTACAAATATTGTATCATACTGTACATGCTGTTTTATAAAATGTTTTTATTTAATATATATTGTCAATGTCAGTGTTTATCCTCTGAAAAAATTATACATATGCTACATGCTTCTTGTGAAAAAGTCAGAAATCACAGGTATGCAGAAAGAAAACATGATTGCTCCCAACATCACCTCCCAGAGAGACATGTTGTCATCCTGTAGGCAGCCTTTCTGATTCTGTAACGTGCACATGTGTAGGTGTGCTTGTAAGAGGGTCGCTCTAGAAAATCTCCTATTATTTCCTTTTTCTGTCTGACAACATAGACTGCACATTTCAATAAATACACATGGTGAGCATTCTTAATTGGTACACAGTATGCACTGAAAGACATGCCATATTTTTTATTGAGCCATGCATTTTTCTCCACTCCCCTCCCTTCCTCCTGTTCCTCTTTAACCCTCTACCGTGACCCCCACGCTCCCAGTTTACTCAGGAGATCTTGTCTTTTTCTCCTTCCAGGGTAGATCCATCCAGGTGTCTAGTACTTGTACTGGCCATATCTAGCAAACTTGGTGCTAAGCACCTTCACATATGTTGAAGCATCTTCATAGTTTCAACTATGTGAATAAAGGCTATTCTTCCCATGGGACAACTAAGGGAATTCTAAAATGTTACATGATTGCTCCAAAGCCTACAGATGGTAAATGATAGGGCCATTCACTGTCCCTTTTGTCTTTGAAGCCCCTGTTTTATGTTACCCAGCTTTCTTCAGGTGTCCTGGTCCTCCACCTGAGCCACTCCACAGTCTCCCAGGGTCCTGGTCTTCTGCCTGCAGTGCCCAGTAGATGCGTTTACAGCATCCATAAGTCACTGACTCTGCTATTGTCTACTTTGCTTTTCTAGACCTTTGGGTCTGTGCTGGCGTTCTGTGGACTTGGAATTGGGGTTAGACTCTAGAGTGGCTCAGATCTTTTTGTAGATAGACTCTTGGGAATCGTCTTTAGATGCTAAAATGAGAATGAAAACTTTCATGCCAGTAGAAGGAAGATGTGACCTCAGTTGCCATGACACTCCAGGCCTCCGAGTTAGAAATTTTCTTTTTCTTTTCTTAATTTTTTATTAATATTTATTGAGCTCTACATTTTTCTCTGCTCCCCTCTCTGCCTCTCCCCTCCCCCTTCAAACCTCCCCCAAGGTCCCCAATGCTCCCAATTTACTCAGGAGATCTTGTCTTTTTCTACTTTCTACTTCCCATGTATATTAGGTCTATGTAAGTCTCTCTGAGTGTCCTCATTGTTGTCTAAGTTCTCTGTGATTGTGGTTTGTAAGCTGGTTTTCCTTGCTTTATATTTAAAAACCACCTATGAGTGAGTACATGTGATAATTGTCTTTCTGTGTCTGGGTTACCTCACTCAAAATAATGTTTTCTAGCTCCATCCATTCTCCTGAAAAATTTAAGCTGTTGTTATTTTTTTCTGCTGTGTAGTACTCCATTGTGTAAATGTACCACATTTTCCTTATCCATTCTTTAGTCAAGGGGCATTTAGGTTGTTTCCAGGTTCTGGCTATGACAAACAAAGCTGCTATGAACATAGTTGAGCACATGTCCTTGTGGCACAATTGAGCATCCTTTGGATATATACCTCAAAATGGTATTACTGAGTCTTGAGGAAGGTTGTTTTCTAATTTTCTGAGAAATTGCCGCACTGACATCCAAAAGAGTTGTACCAGCTTGCATTCCCACCAGCAATGCAGAAGTGTTCCCTTTCCCCACAACCTCTCCAGCCTAAGTTGTCATCAGTGTTTTTGATCTTGGCCATTCTTACAGGTGTAAGATGGAATCTCAGAGTTGTTTTGATTTGCATTTCTCTGATGACTAAGGATGTTGAACATTTCCTTAAGTGTCTTTCAGCCATTTCAGATTCCTCTTTTGAGAGTTCCCTGTTTAGGTCTGTACTCCATTTTTTATTGGATTATGTGATCTTTTGGTGTCCAATTTCTTTTCTTTTCTTTTCTTTTCTTTGGTGTCCATTTTCTTTTTTTTATTTTTTTAAAATATTTTATTTATTTATTATGTATACAATATTCTGTCTGTGTGTCTGCCTGCAGGCCAGAAGAGGGCATCAGATCTCATTTCAGATGATTGTGAGCCACCATATGGTTGCTGGGAATTTCTTAACCGCTGAGCCATCTCTCCAGCCCCTGGTGTCCAATTTCTTGAGTTCTTTGTATATTTTGGAGACCAAACCTCTGTCTGATGTGGGGTTAGTGAAGATCTTTTTTCCATTCAGTAGGCTGCCATTTTGTCTTGTTGATTGTGTCCTTTGCTTTACAGAAGCTTTTCAACTTCAGAAGGTCCCATTTATTAATTGTTTCTCTCAGTGTCTGTGCTGCTGGGGTTATATTTAGGAAGTGGTTCCCTGTGCCAATGCATTCAGGTGTACTTACCACTTTCTCTCTATAAGGTTCAGTGTGGCTGGCTTTATGTTGAGGTCTTTGATCCATTTGGACTTGAGTTTTGTGCATGGTGATAGATATGGGTCTATTTTCATTCTTCTTCATGTTGATATCCAGTTATGCCAGCACCACTTGTTAAATATGCTTTCTTTTTTCCATTTGATATTTTTTGCTGCTTTGTCAAAAATCAGGTGTTCGAAGATGTGTGGATTGATATTCGGATCTTCTATTTGGTTTCAAAATTTTCTTTTTCTTTTCAGTGCCAAAAGGATCCCCAGTTGGTGGATAAGATAATGCAGGACCTGGACGCCAATAAGGACAACAAAGTGGATTTTAATGAATTTGTGGTCATGGTGGCAGCTCTGACAGTTGCTTGTAATGATTACTTTGTAGAGCAACTGAAGAAGAAAGGCAAATAAAGATGACTAGCAAGCCGATGAGCGGCAGAAATAGATCCAAAGTTGTATACCTATTGTGAGCCTATATCCTTCCCATTTATAGACTCAATGATATGACTTATAGACGTTCTATATGTACACTTACTAGCCTTAATTAAGTTATATTTACCTTGATGTACTGACTTTACACAAAGATTCCAGATCCTATGCCCTCTTTAAACTTTACTGATGCTATTAAAAAATGTTATGACTTATTTGTCAAATAGAGAGCACCCACAAATTTACTCACTTTTGAAACAAGACTCAAAGCTGATGCGTTTCCAAGATCTCATTCTTGAATTGTGTTTTGCAATTCCTCTGTCACTGAAGAGATGACTTGGCTCTCCCTATAGACTGCTAATTGTGCTTCAAATAAATAGCAGAAGCTATGAAGGACTGCCAGCAGAAAGACTGGTAAAGAGAAAGACTGACCTTCAGTAAGTCAGACTGGGGTGGGTGGACTCAGGACTAGGTGTCCAAGCTGTAAGAGCTGAATACAGCCAGTCTTAGGAGTTGGTGTGTAAATACCCTCCCACACCTCTGGGACTCAGTTAAGTTTTACACCGGATACCAGTTCCCACAGCTTTCCCTAGGGTTAAATGGCATCAGGCCTTAAGAATACTTGCTCCCTTCCCTGTGTCTTACTGCAGTACTCCAACTTATTTGCCGCGCCTAAAATAAATGACCTGAGCAAGAGTCCTTGACTACAGGTCAGCTTCCGGGGATCTAAACTGTGACAGATAATTGGGAGATTTGGAAGAAAGGAAGTTGGCATTTGAAGCGAGGATTCAAGGTACCGGGGAAGGCGGGGCCGCAGAGAGCAACTGTGAAGGAGGCTCTGCTGTGTCTGGTGAAAGACCACAGTGGCTCACCGTGGCTCACGCCAGGATCTGGTGAGGGAGGGGAAGGCATGCAGGGTGAAAGATCATGGTGGCTCACCGTGGCTCATGCCAGGATCCGGTGATGGAGGGGAAGGCATGCAGGGTGAAAGACCATGATGGCCCACCTTGGCTCAAACCAGGGTCCGGTGATGGAGGGGAAGGCATGCAGGGTGAAAGACCATGGTGGCTCACCATGGCTCACGCCAGGATCTGGTGAGGAAGGGGAAGGCATGCTGTTGAAGTGTTTGGGGGGAGAGACTGACAAGATCTGTGAGAGCTGACAGGGAAGACTGTTGTTGGCCTGACTCACAGTCTGCCTTTCTCTACACTCCAGAACTCTGTTTATGCAGGGTGGCATGTGACCAGCGAAAAAGATGTGTTTCCCAATATGTTGTACAGCTGGGAGAGCCAAGCTTGCCATACAGCTGTGTTAAGAAAGGGACTCTGCAGCCTGCTAGGAATCTTGAGGAATGTTTTGCCATCTCCGTGGGAGGTTTTCGGTCTTCCTCCTTCCACCTCTTAGTTCTTCTGTTTCCTTTTCATTGGAATGTCTAGGTGAGGCTGGGGGTGGAATGTCATCAATCCATCTGGTCCCCAAGGATGGTGGAGGACAAAGCCAGAAGGGTTTGTCTGTCCCGAACACAGCGCTCACCTAACAGGAAATCAGAGCTCATATATTTTGAGTCTAATAGGGGTGACCATGGACAGTGGGACAGAAAGAAAGTGAGGAGGGCGGGGTGCCTTGGAAGTTGGAGAAGATGCACCCAGCCCTGGGAAGAGGGTGAAATCATGAGGAGTGAGATGAGGAGGGAGGATGGCTGACTAGACTGTCAGGGCAGGGGTCATCGTGACATCAGTGATACTGAAGGGGCTCATTTGGATTAGAAAAGGTCTCAGGGCCTGGCCCCCAGGTAATAGGTTCTTCATATATATTTCTGTAATAAACGCACGAAGGAATTTGCCAGCCATTGACATTCTAGATAGAAGACCCACTGTTTTGTTTATGTAGAACAATGTTTTTGTCTTTTTCAAACCAGTTTTAAGCAGAGAGGTGCAAAGCACTCAAGAGAAAAAATCTTCACTCTATCAGGCCCTCACTCTCTCTTAAAGGGGCAGGAGAAAGTAAACAAAATTGAACATGTATTTTGGCTGTGTGTAGGTTCTTTCCTTTTTTGTCTATTTTTCAAAATTGAAAATAAAACCCCATATAATAGAGGTTATTTTGTTGTGTCCATGAGACCTGGGCATCCTCAGGGGCCTTTACACTTTCCATTTCGTTGATCTGAAGCTTACGCTTTCTAAAGGCGCCCATGGAAACGTGAAAAGTGAATCCAAAGACTTCCTCACTGTTTTGTTCTTAGAAGGATGCTCTCCAAACAGAAGTAAGTTGGGAACGATGTTCATTTCATGGTGTTTCTGAAAATCAATCCAAAGTAGGGAAAAGCAATTTATGTCTCAAATTAGATTTCAAATGAGCAAGAATTGCACAATGTACCGAAAGACCTTCTCAAGTAAATGGGGTTTCCTTTCTTTCCTGTGCCCCCCTCCCCACTTTGGCTAGCTACACAAAATAATTTTGTTGAAGGCAAAATTATTTAGTGCCTATGTCCAGGGACGCTCTTTGGCTTATTTTGTCATGTTCTAGGGTTTAAATAAAATTGAAGCGTAAACACATTTGCAAACTGTCTCTGAATGGGTGCTTGCTAGTGGTCATTATTTACCGAGGTCACCACACAGAGCAGTTTATAGGAGACAATATCCCAAGACCGTGTGGAGTCCTGGGTTTGAGAGCTACTGGCTGTGCTAGAAACTGAATAAGAACGAGGTCAAAGAAGTCTTCCCAGAGGCAGAAGTGTGAGTCAAGTGTTTGGTAGGACAAAGACATGGGAAGCATTGTTAAAAAATGAGAAACACGGGAAGGCAGTGGGCATAGACTAGCAGGGATGGTTGGGAGAGCGCACATTCTAGGGTATCCAAGGGTGTGGGGTTTAGGAAGGCAGGAGAATTGGGTGCGAAGGAGAGAAATCTGAAATTGTTTTCAAATCGCCTCCTTAAAGCTTTAAATCTTTACAACTGAGGTGTAGAGTTCTTTCTTCATCATACGATGGCCACACTACTTCGAAATATAGATCTTTGAGCCAGATGTGTTGGCTCACACATGTAAGACCAAACACCAGGGAAGCTGAGGCAGGAGAATCATATTTTGTCTCAAAAAGTAAAAACAAAAAGTGAATAGATTACAGACAGACAGGTACAGACGTGCTCCACCACCCTGTCCCAATGTTCTAAACTATTTCAGTAGGACCCAGGCATCAGCACTCCATCAGATTTTCAGCCAGTGTTAAATCTCACATAGGAGAGTCAGAGATAGCTCAGCAGTCGAGAGTGCTTGTGCTTCAGCTCTTCCTGAGGACACAGGTTTGGTTTCCAGCACTCATGCTAGTGGCTCACACAGCCTGTGACTCCAGCACTAGGGGATCTGACACTCTCTCCTGGCTTCCATGGCCCCCATAAGCATGTAGCTTGTAGACGCATGCATGCACATGTATACACACACTAAAGCTTTTAAAAAACACTGTATTTACTATAGATGCTGCATCATAGTAAATATACTTGGGCATCACATTGCCCAATGACTGCAGTGTCCCACCCCCCAGCCCTGTTTTTTTATTTTAAGAATCCCTAAGTTCTGTACCTAAGGTTCCATTTATCCCTAGTGTGCCAGTGTCCTCCACTCTCCACCCCTCAGTTTACCCCAACTTTCTCCTCCCTAACATCCCGGTGTTGTCTGATTTCCCCCAGAGGGGAAGAAGACTCTGCATGAGTTATTGACTGTGTTCCTAAGTCACTCCTTCGTGTAGCTGTTCAAAACTCTCTCCTTTCATCCCAGAGTTAGACTGTTTCTACTAGCAAGCAGTACCTGTAAGTTTACAGAAACGCAGACCCTTTGGCTCCTCCCACACCTATGAAGGATGGTCAAGTCTTCATGTGCCCGAAAACCAGAGTATCTGCCCTTACCAGGTGACTCCCAGTCAGGTGTTGATCTGATGGATGGAAGCCATTTACTACGTGGGTTTTTCAAAATTTTATTTAGCATGTGTGTGTGTGTCTGCTTGTGAAGGTCAGAGAACAGCTTGCAATAGTTGGTTCTCTCCGGCATGTGGATCCTGGGGATCGGACTCAGGTCAACAAGCTTGCTCCTGAGCCATTTTGCTATCCTAATAGGAGCTTTAAATAGCAGGATTTTGATATGATCTCAGTTTGGTTAAAAGAAATATATAAGAGCTGGTAAGATAGCTCAGATAGTAAAGGCACGCACTCATGCACGCACGCGCACACACACAATCACTACATAGATGCAATGCTTGGTGACATAAGGGTTTTAGACAGAAACGTGGCACTATCAAAGAGAATTATAAATTACATGTGTTTTTAAATGCAATTTTTAAGGCACTGTAGCACGAGTTTTGAAAGGAAATCTTAAGGAAATTTTCTAATACACATTGAACGCATTAAAAGTGCATCAAAACAAAACTTGTGGGACATAGTTCAAGAAGCCCTAAAAGAAAAGTTTATACAGTAAATCATTATATTAGCAGCTTTTGACAGGGCTCAGTGCGTAAAGTGCTTGCCATGCAAGCCTGAGAACCTGGGTTCGAATCCCCAGAGCCCATGGACTCAGTGATGTGCAGCTGCAATCAGTGATCTTTGGTGAGATGGGGGTAGAGATCCAAGAAGCCCATGGGTCAGACAGGCTAGTGTTTGTGTAGCAAACAAAAACAGACCCTGTCTCAAACAAGAAGGATGACAGAGACGAACACCCAAGGTTACCCTCTGACTTCCACACGTATGCCATGGCATGTTGAGTGTCCACATTCATACCCACACCCCACATACACAGAGATTTAAAAAGATCATTGCATTAGAAAAAGGAGACTCTTAGATCAGTATTTCTTATAATTTCATGTAAGAAGTTTATATATTTATTTCAACTCTCAATAGAATTTCAAAGTATAACATACATGAAGAAATTCCCAGCCTTACTTTAAAGAAGTATTGATTTTATAGGTATTTGTGTGTGCCCAAGAGTGCATGTATGTACACCATGTGCAGAAAAATCATCAGTTTTCCCGGGG